ACAAATCGATAAATATACACCGCCACTTCGTTCACGCACAGCCTATTTAATACATACAGCTATAGTGTAAACAGTTAGCGAAGTAGGGAGGCCATCACACCGGACGCTACAGCACGCTATCCAGGCACCCGCCAAATGATATGTATCGCTATTATGAGACATCTATCTTATTTCATTGGTATTAATGCGCCATACGGTGGTCGGTGAAGGGCATATCAGTACGACTGAGATAATGATTGAATGTCATTTTAACGAAAATTAGAGCACCAATCGCGAACAGACGTAGCGAAAACAGTAATTGTAGAAAATGAAGAAGCTAAAACGAAATCTGGTGACGAGCTCGAGTTCGTATGAATAATCGATCCAATGGCACAAAGAGTATTGTTCAGGCCGAAATCGGCACCGGAACAAGTACCATATATCTGTCGATATGTGATTGATACAAGTGAAGGTTTGAATCCTGCTTCGGGACCAGCCAAATCCTTGTTTCCTTTGGACAGCATAAAACAAAGGCTGTAGCTAAAGCTGTAAAAGTCCGCCTAGGGCTTTGAAATTAAAAGCGGCCTTAATGCAATCTTTTCGGCAAAAAACATGATATGCAAATGAGTGAAGCGCAGCTTTTTGCGAATGACACTCTCCGTAAATTCAATGATCAACCACCGTACAGCGACGTATACAGTAAATTGACGTTTCTGGCTGATTGCTATTTGAGACAAAGTTACAGTTTGACAAATGCGAAGATATATCCGCAAGACGCGTCATCCGAATGAGGCCATCTGCTCCAAAACTCATCACTACCTGTATAGGTCTCTTTTAAGGTATTATAGCACCAAAATCGAACGCCTGTCTATGTGAGTGAGACGTCCCCCATCCTGCGAATGTTTGTTGCATATTAAACTACCGTACGATAGCGAACCCTCGTTCGAAATCCGCTCACGGAATAATAGGCTTCACTTCCCACTCATACGATTCAAATCCCAATTATTATTTGAGGAATTGTATTTGACTGAATCGAGTGATCGGTTACAGACGGGGGCGATAGCCCCTCGTTGCCCGAACAATGTTCATACGGACCTGTTATGGGTGAGACGAGCATTTTGGTACTATTTTAGGCTTTATTTATTTAGTTTGCGTATTTGTCTACTGAGATGCTGCGGGAATTTCAAGCGGTCAGGTCTTGCACTTGTAAAATTGTCAATCAAGTTAGAAAGAAGGATCAGCTCATTAGAACGGATCCGTAATTGGCTGTCAAAATCGAGAGGAGGCTTTGGGCTCTGATGTGCAGTAGGTGAACGTGGGCTTCGGAAATATCGGTGGTGTCTCATTTCTATAATAGGTGCCAGTGTTACAACAGAGAATGGCAGTATATTTTGATATGACGAATACTTTTTCATGTTGAAAGAAACGACCCTGAAAAAAACGATAAATTTCTCCGTTCAAAGATTTTTATAGCACGAGTTAACTAGCTTAAAAATAGTTAGTTACACAAGACAAAAATATCTAGAAACTTAATTAGTAAACGACCAGTGTGTCCACAGGCTTCTGTCTGACAGGTCTGCTATCAGTGGCAAACTTCCTATTTTATAAATCTTTTTGCGTGTTACCCGATTTTGAACAAGTTCACAACAGACTGCTATTTTCTAAAGTTGTAAGATGGTTACTTTATTAGCATAAATCAAAATTACAGTTGGGTTCGTTGATGTTATTATATACCTCGTTATGTTGAAGGACATTGTAATGAATCCTTACCCCATTTTCGACTAACGTGTGACAATAACGTTATGAAACTGGGCAAAAAATGACACTATCCATGTATCGCACGTCTTTCTATCTTCGATTTCAAATTCAATTAAATCAATTCGTTTGCCTTTGTCTTACCCTCATAAGAAGATAACTCAAAAACTCGCGGCGAAGCAATCTTCATTTTCTGTTTTTAACTAAATGGACGCCTTTCGAATATAGCGAATGTCCGTGTTTAAATATACATTGGGCCATTGTAATAGAGTATTGTTAATGACTACGAAACAAATCCAGAGTGAAGAAAAAACGTGATATAAGCCTCACTGGGCTAATACGTCACCAAATCTCACACAACAAAAATGCCATGTTCATATTAGATATGCAGATAGACACACCCATGTGCCCATAGACTGCGACTACCCCAACGGTTCCCGGCAATAGAATTCTATATTAGTACCACCCACGTATCGAGGGATACGGATCAAGTGCGCCAATCTCTTCGTTCTGTGATGCAAGGTATTGAACGAGCTAGTTACTACTGTATTGTGTTGCCGAAATCATCGTTTGTTATTTCTACTGCTGCTCGATCCCGTTTTTAATAATGGTCCATCAATTCGTGCCCAATGCACTAGCGTGACGTTCACTTCTAAATATTACTACGGTAAGATTGTACTTAATAGATGGGGCAGTTTGATAGCATTATGCAATCGTATCTGACCAAGTTAACAGCAATTTATGGGAATCCTGAAGTTAAGTTCTCACGGGACTGATGTTGCTACTATCGCCCGTTATTGCACACTCTGTAATGGATATAGCTACCATCGGTGAATGCGCCGAGAAAAATCAACCTAGTACAAACCCAAACATGAACGTTTCTCTAACATTTTCCATTTGTAAAGCAATTATTAAATATTTAGACATGTGAAACTGTCTAAGTTCAGCGTTTTGTGGCGGGAATGGTCGAGAAATCTAGTAACTGCCGGAGTTGAAGCTGGGCCACATAAAGAGACAAATACCCATTATTCGCGCCTAACGTTTAACTGCATAACTATAGCTTAATTTTGAAACGTATTGAGTAGCAACACGTATTGGGACTTTTTTTACTATTAGTTACCCTACAAACAAGAGCAGATTCAATTTTTTTGTTTCACAACTTCGGGCACTTGAACAAGTGAGCTATAAGTTTCGCGAGTAAAGGGATCGCATGTAACTAATCGAGGTTACCGGCGGATTAGGCGGAAAATGCAGGTTTGTCTATCGCTGATATTTTAATTTTCCAGTACTTAGTAATCGGCATGGTAACCATGCTTGACCTTGAAAGTAAGGGGTGCGGCGGTACGTTCATACCGACAATTTACGTTGGCTTAAATATTGCATTTCGATTTCCTTCAATGCTTCAAGATACCGTACATTAATTTTGGCTAGAAACCACTTAAAAAAGACTATACATGATAAGCTTAATACCTGTTTTACAAATGTAGGCCCTTTTATAGTTTACTGAGAATTGTGCTAAAACAGTGACATTCCTAGTCCTTTACAGGATCTCACGGTCAAATTTCGACCAAAAGAATTTGTCTTTGTCCCTGACAAGCTTCGCACAAAAGGATCCAGAATCAAGGTAGACTGAAATATTTTTCGGCCCTAAATACTTCAAGCACATTATGCTATCGATCCACAGTGTGAGTTCCTGTCAATTTAGCGTTTCTTCAAAGCGCCAAGCATAGATTAAAAAAAAAACGTAAATTTTACTATTAATTACCATTTAAAGCAGCTCCTATAGAATATATATATATATATATACACAAAGGCAAATATGCATTTTATGACTAGCGAAGCTGACGAAAAACGCGTTCAGATGTGTCAAGCATGGCCAACTAAGATATCGTTGCAGTGTCGTTGAATAGTGCAAGCCCTTTTTCACTTGGGCAGATAAATCTCAGCTTTCAGTCCTCCATTGGGTTGAGAAATGGCCAACCTTACGTACGCCTACATACGAATGTACCGAGCATAAGTAACTTATTGAATGCTATATGTATATTGTAACCTTAACAGACCTTGGGCGAATCTTGTCTCGATTACCCACGGCGCATCGTAACAATGTTAAACAAGTTCTGTAATAATGCAACACATTCTCGTACGAAGTAGTCGTTACCTTGTGCTTTCAACCTCTAACGCTCTTCCAAATGTCTCGTTATGATCTAAATAACTAAAAAGGCCTTCGACGACGATCGTTTGAACTGTTATTTAGAGCCGTGACATCGATCCTGTATCCCGAAAATTATTGACCTTTCGAATCACCTACGTTCTATGGAAGCAGAATGCGTCGACAGGCGTAGATCGGTTTAGGAATACGTCGGGGTACTTTTTTGGGGGGTAGTCAACTTGAATGTCGAAATCTGCAACGTTATCTTGGCGCCTCGTGAAGTTATGCGTGTATTTATTCGCACCACACAGACTGGAACATCTGCGTTGTAGCGAAAGCTATGATTAGACATACTAGTGTAACTACGTCATGTTTTTATTAATCTAGAGCTGTAAATGTGTGTAACTTAATAGCGGCATGTTCATGCTGACTGCGGTAAAGGCCAACCTCGGTATAGGACAACTTGAGCATGCAGCGCTATTAACGATATTGAATCGTATCTGTACTAACATTCGAGAGCCAATAACGTAGCCATGCTGGGCCACAGATCCTCATCTTGTTTCCCGATCTAGCCTGATTAGCGTTTGGGATCTGGCGGCTATACAACTGCCTCCAAACACCTTCCAACACATCCACACTTGCTGGTAAATGATTATCTTAAAACGATGTGTTCCGTCTCTCAGTGCTTAGCTGTTCGCAATCGCTCTACGACTTCACTCGGAATATAGCTTCGACTGGTTAAAATATTAGTTTGGAAATTATTCCTCCCGCGTTGTTCTCGCTCTTATCATATAATATATAATGAAGTCCATCTATGCGTACCTGAACGTTTCTCAGGTACTAAGGGTGAGCGCGTCAGACTGAGTTGCTCGCTACCAAAGACAGGCAAGCGCAATCACGATCAAATGCGAAACGTGCGCTGACGTTTTTTCAAACGGCTATTTTATGCCTGGATTCCTCATTAAGCGTTGCAATTTTTACCAGCGATTGTTAAGTCCTCTTACACGCGTCGTTCGACCTTGGTATTCATCAAATATATATATACATCCATATTTTATGCTTTCATACATTTCGCATGCATTTTTATATGAAGTAATGTATAGATAGACGTGCCTACCATATTAGCCTTATACGTGTTTATCTGACCGATATGTAAGGTTGCTGATTGGCGCGTCGTGAATCGTGTCCGTGTTTTCCAACACCAAAGTTACTTCACCACGACGACGACGACGACGACGACAGTGAACACGCTGACGACAAAACGAAAACACAGGACTCTCGTGCACATACACACACACACACACACACACACACACACATACACTGATACACAATTACGGATGTACAAGTAACGATTTTTACAAAAACACCAATACACCAAAAAGCCAACACCTTAAGAAATCCAAAAGCAGTAGACAGCCAGCGATTTCGCTTGAGTCGACGAGATTGACGTAGTTTCCCCTTGAAGCACGGGCCAGTTGGATTCACTTTTAACGTTTTTCAATCGCTCGCACAAAGTTGTTGATCTAAATATCCCGGTGTATGACTGGGATCACAACAACAGTTGGTCAGTAAGTAAATTGATTCGTCAGAACTTCCTGTCGCATGTGTGTAAGCTCCTTCTGATGCTTGTTTTCCTCGTTTGCCTGGTTGGTGCTCGTTTTTCACGCTAGGTCTACATCAGACCGACAGCCCCGACAAGGCATAACTACTATCTTTAAAATCTATTATGGTAAGTTGTTGCAAAAACCGTGGGCACGATACGAGTATAAACATGTTCGACTAGGGTAGCGGGATCTTAACGGCTCACATGATTTGCAGACCCAGCCGGCGACAGGTAGCAGTAGCTCCAATGGCTTCACCTTTTAACCTTTACCCTATGGAGACGCGCACCGAACAAGGCACTTTTTCCTAACAGAAACCTTCCCGCGTAGAGCTGACAAGGAAAATAGTCCTCACAGAGGAAAGGCCAGTCACCATAGTTTTTCCCGGGAGGAAAACGCAGCTGTCAAGCATCTGTAGGCGTATAAGGTTCTCGAGGGCAACAAACAAAAAATCTATTGTTTCGTTTGTGCTGTACGTAGAGGGCACAGTGGGAACAGTCACACATAGACAAGAATCGATGTGTGGACAGTAAACACTGCAGAGAGATAGTAGCTCGCGTAGATCGGGTGGAGTCGCACGGTAGAAGGGCTTCTGTCTATCTGGTTCAGCGACCGTTGTATGAGTCGATGGAGTCCCTATCGACGCGCGCGCGGATCGCTAAACAGCTGACTCGCCGAGGCGCGCCCCTCTATATACTATAGACTATCGACTGCGGCAGTGGCAGCAGCAGCAGCAGCAGCAGCAGCGACACACTATAACAACCACTATTACACCTAGTAGCATGTAGTAGCAGGGGGTAGTTTTGCCACACCACTCTATGCCAGTGGCGATGGCCGATGCAAGCAGGCAGTGGGCAAGCAAAAGCAGCTGTCAACAGAAGAACAATCGAACGCAATTGGGTCCCCTCCCGCCGCCTACGGGCCCTCGCCCTGACCGCTCCCAACAGCTGATACAACACCGTTATGCTGCAGCGGCGGTAGCAGGAGCAGACAATTGCAGCCAAGTTGCCGATGCAGCTGGAGCTACAACAAACAACAACAGCAACAGCAGCAGCAACAACAACAACAACAACCATGGTGATAACTGTTTCAGCCTATGATCTAACAGCGGAGGGGGTTTCTTGTACGGCGTGCGAACGTGCTCACTACGCGGCTCATGCGCTGAAAGTTCAACAGGTGACCATTGAAAAGTCGTTGAATTGCTGCGGAACTGAGCGGGTTATGAGGGTAACCATCACAGGAGTGACGTTATACCAGTACCTTCGCGCCAGACCGAAAAATAGCCCGCGCCCTTTGTATCGCTCGCGTCAAAGTCACGAGCGGCAGCAGCATCCATGTAAAGATGCCGCTACGCTGAACAAAACACGCTGCCGGACGTGTTTACTTTGGCTTTTTTTTTTTTTAAATCCAAGTGCCTAGAGTTTTTGGCGTAAAAGGTTTGCAGTAGATGAGAAATAGTTAGATGAGGGTGTTTTGGTTACTGAATTTTAGAGGAGTAGCCATTCATTAATCAATTTGTACAATTATGAAGTTCGTATGTGGCATATTCTGTAGGAATAGAAGGCGGCTATTTACCGTCAAATAAATACGCTGTATTCTGAGCAATACGTCCCATAATAATTGTTTTTTCATCCAAGCTGGACATTGTGACTGGTATTGGATTAATTAGAGCGCAGATATTTTATTTGACTCTTGATCTTCAATTATTAAAAGGTAAGTAATGTAAAAATCATTGTTAAGTCATAAATCATTCATTCTATATATATATATATATATATATAGACAAGAGGTGGCAATATTGAACCCTGGAGATTGTTAGCCTGTAAACTTTGGTCCTGTACGGTCACCTAGGCATATAGGTTATAAAAGCTACGTATATAGAACAAGAATATTGCGTCACAATTGATACACTCCATTTGGAAGGATACGTCCATCTCCTTATTTCCAATGCAAATAGTAGATTACCAAGGATACACGAAGCCTATCATCACGTGATAGAGGCCTGAAAATCAAATAAGAAACGTGTGAATGAGTGTGTGAAGGCCGCGTTAGCTTTCAGTGCCTGTTCTGACGTTAATTAACGTAACTCTTATGGATCAGCGCTATGGAGGGAAGATCGATTAGCTATTATGTTTGGGCAAGAATCATCCATCTCTATGACGGCAAATAATTTTACGACGACATTTAAATTTAATCTTCAAACTCATATACGGACACAGTCATAAAGAAATACTGTAATCGTTTTATCGAGGATACAGCCAAAATAGTCGCTTGTATCCCGTATGTAAAAGATTTTCAATAAACATAAACAATTTTCAAAGTATTCCAAAATATCTCACTGAGTGTGGTTCGGCTAAAGTAAAAACCCAGATCTACTTTTGAATTTTAGTGAGTTGATACTTTGTCGGAAACGCATCCAATTGCCAGCTTACTACCTCCAATAACGGACAAAAAAGCCGTAGTCAATTTACCTACGCTAAGATAAAACAGGAGCCGGAGATCGGTAATGAAAATTGTACGTCGATTTTAAAGCTAAGTGTCACGAGAGAAACGGCGCAAATCGCACGGAGTATAAAAAAAAAAACAGTAAACCAAATAGACAGCCAATCCAAACAGCGTCCAATCGTGCGCATTAGTAAAATCGAAGCTTGGCCAGTAAGTTTATGATTTCAGGGGCCTGCCCCACAAGGTTCTTCTATTTGCTCATCAGAAGAAGCCTACCAATGTATTTACCACGAAAAAGTATATATCTTTATACCAAGACTTTGCATATGCCATATATGATGTGTAACATAATCTCAACGTTGCCGCAGAAATTGAACCGTCGATACGTATATCAACGACAACATGCTTGTTTTATAGCAGCAATAGATAAAACGATTGTTACCCAATCAAAAATGTCTGAACTCGCAACCTTGAATATATCTTATTAATTATTATGCAGAATTAATGGAGACTAATCGACCAACAAGAAAACGTCCTAGCCCCAGGTCCCGCTTTCCTATGCCCTGCCCACAGTTCTCCCAGCTATACGAAAAAGGCGCTCACAGTTGCTATTTCGACCGCTAAAGCCACCTGCCGAGATTTTTCGATTGTCAGCTCTTTGCAACGGATTTGCCAGAGGAACGCCATTTTACTGATAACCAGATGGCATTTATTTCTGGTAGCGATATTTCTTTTTCCGTTGTTGTAGAAGTGTTTCCCGCTGTTGTAAATGCTCGATTGGTTCCTCAGCCATTTCACGATTATTCAATTTTTATTGTTGATCCGCTGATATTTATATCCATTTGGCCAAACGGCTCTTATGGAATTGGCAACATCATAGGAATCGACGTACATTTAAAGAGATTGATCACTGTAACCTTTTACTAAAGTTCCCGCCCGACGCTGTACGCTAACTTGCAAGCATTAACCGCGTGTACTCGTTAATTGTGATAGAATTTATATTGACCATGATATGTATGATATTCGTATTAGAGGACGGGTTCGGATGTAGTTATTGTCTTGCGCAATATTGTAAGTTGTCGGAAGTCCTTCGAGCATTGAAGAAGGCTGAGAATCTTCGCACTGGAGCACGTGGTGCATATAAATAGCGGTGGAGAAAAGAAGAATTATTTTTTAGTCTTGATCGACAAGTTCATGAATATTTACAGTCTATCAAAAGAAGGTCGGATGGTGGTTAATAATGCGAGTCGTTTGGCCTCTAATCTAATAACTTCTCGGTCTATTTCGTTAGTATTCTAATAAACATATTATCTATCTTCTAAAAATTGACGAACTTTTTATGTCGATCCAGTATGTTAGTATCTTTATTGCACGCGTCCAATAAGCATCTCAACAAGCCCTATCTAACTGGCCCTTGGCTCCATTCCGGTACTGCTTAGGGCCTGACTGAAAAAAAAAATATATGTATATAGATTCGAAACTTCGACTAGCAAGTACGTAAGGTATAAATGGCATCGGATCCTTTATAACAGGTGTGGAACTATCATGTATGACATTAACAGCGTTCCATTGTGATGCCGAAAATATTCTATCGCAGAGCGTCACCGGTATAGTTTTTGGCGATTAATTTTGTAGGCCCGGTTCATAGATTTCAGCTCTATCGAAGCTTATTATATCATAGGGCTCTTTTGCAAAGTGTTTTTAGGCCGATAAGACGTTACAGTTTAGGCCTCTATCGATTTGAAGTGGATATCCATACGCGAATACGAATTAATGTGTTGACGACACTTTTGCGTTCCATTTGAACTCTCAAGAATATAGGTCACCTACGAAGAAATAGCCCCCTGCTGAAACAGGAAAAGTATTACAGAAAATAATACAAAACCGTCAATATGTTAGACTTTCATTAGAACTTCAACACATGACTTCATCATTGAGAATCGTCGAAATCGAGCTATTTTGGTTTAAAAGAAAAAATTTGGATAGCTGATCTTAATTCCAGTCTTTAATAGTTTTCATGCGAAAGCTAGCCGCTTCTGTAACAAAGTACACCTAACATTTCGATGTATCGACTGCCAATTTCTTGAACGAGCGACAGACACCGAAACACCGTACTGCTAAGAGCAGAACTATTATATTTACAGAAGAACCTGTCCACCTACTGAATAGAAGACTCGGCAAATAGCTACTGCATGGACCGCGATAGCAGTGCTTGTTTCTTACGGTGACTGTCTAGAGTTAAAACTTCTAGTTAAAACTGCTATTAGATCGTAGTCGATATTACCATTATGCAACAGCCCATAACGAAATTGCCCCCCTTATTCTAATCAAGGGATTGACTATTCATCGTGAATGTGGGACTCTGGAAGCGCTAGTGCCGATTATACCTATCACAGGCGTGCTTTTTAACGAGGACGTTCTTCGAGAACGAAAACTGAAAGTCGAAATAATTTACTTAGATATCGAAGTAACTTATTGTGTCAATCCGGACTGAGGCAGCAAATTATGTGGGCGCTATCCTTGCCAATAATCGTCCTAGCCTTTACGCTCTGTACACAAGTTCATTGAAGCTGTTTCCAAACGTCTTACAAGATTTACCCCATTCGCAGTTCCTTAAGTATATATCTGGGACGTAATGCCGGCTTTTCTCAATTCGTTTACGTTTCACTATCGAATGGTTCGTACACGGTCATACGTCTAATTCGGTAGCTGCAGTTTACACACGCTTTATCTACCGGAGGTCATTAAAAAGGGCGATAATACCGAAACTTTCAGAATGACGCAACGACCTGCCGGCTAAGAAGGCCTGGCGCAGAAACAAAGCGCATGTAATTTATATCAATGACCGTGCTCCCTCAGGCGTATAATCACAAACAACAAGTTTGCTGATAAGCCAGAATTCTCTGTAACTTTTAACTTTTGTAAATCTAGCATATTTTTTGCATCAATGAAAGTAAACAAGCTGCTGTAGTTCATTTGGACTTTCGTATTGAATCCCACTGAACTCATAGATCCATACACTGGACTCGTCTTAGTCAAGGACTTGCCTGCAAAAAAAGATATTTCGTATTGAAATAAATAGTCCTTAAGGAGACGAGAAAAGGCCTACGGCCGATTGTCATTAAGAACGCTCCTTTGATGCACCTTCGTGTATTGTATCGTCTGCACTGGTTTTTTTCGAAATTTATTCGTGGGCCAAGAGTGCAGAAATGTTCGCAACATTTGTCCTTCCTTCCTTCCTTCCTAGTTTCCAGGCCAATCTCCTTTATAGAAAAGTTTGTTATCCTCTATCTTAGACATCTTAGACTCTATCTTAGGCATACTTAGTACAGTACTTAAAGCTTGGTAGACATCTCCAAGAATAACCACTGCCCAAAATCTGAGTATTATAGTGACCCTAAGGAAACGTCAAAGAAATTAATTCTGAATAGTGACTGTTATAATTGAAGGCTTGTTTTGAAATCATGTCTTGATTGTAATGAATATTTTGGCAAACGTCAGGGTTAGGGAATGGTTGTGAGGAATATATTTCCTTGGAAAGTAGTAACTTGAAGAC